GATCCATGGTCCCCTTGGCCTTTGTTAATCAGGTTCTTTAGTTGGCAGGCTGATCCAACCTTTCTTTCCCATAAGAAATGGTAGTTCTGTCTTCATTGGATTGCTATAGTTTTCCATATTTACAGTAGGACATCCCAGTGAATCCCTCAGATTCAACATGGTTGTCCATGCCCCACTATGTAGCAGCAGCACAAGTTCTCCTGGCTGTTGGTACCTACTACCAGAGGCAAAATAGTGGGCCCTAAATGTGCACATTGGTCTAGCACCACGAGTGCCCAGAAGAGCTGGAATCAAGGGCGTTTTCACTTTCACTTCACTGGGATTAGGACCATGCTACTTTGTAGAAAAGGTTTCCTTTGAGTACCAGCACTGCTTTAGTTTGGATGAGTGTCCTTCACAAGTCCACTAAGGCTTGGTCTTAAAGGTGGCACTTTAGGGAGGTACTGTGGATCTTTAGTAAGTGGGATGTGGTAGGAAGTCACTGAATCATTGAGGGAGTAACCCCAGAGGGGACTGTGGGACCTCCAACCTGTCATGTCTTTTGCCTTGGTGCCTAGTCCATGATGTAAACAGTGTGTGCCACTGGGGATTCCTGCCATGGTGTGCTTCCTTCACCAAAGCCCGAAACAATGGCACAGTCTGATCTTGGACTGGACCTCGAGAACCATTAGCCTAAACAAATCTTTTCTCTTTATAATCTTTCTCTTCAGGTATGTCATTGTAGTAACATGAAGTTGACTAATACAGGTACCTCCACATCCTAGGATTATCAAAGCTACAAAGCAAATTATTTGAGAGTGTTATTGACTAGAACAGTGATGGGGCACTTTTTCCCTCACCTGAGTCCTGTACATCTGGTAATGTGAGATGTACAGGATACATTTAGCGCTTGCTGGCTTAAGGTATACCCATGTCCTGGAGGCATCACTTGACTCTTATAGGTGCCCAACTACCATTGGAACTCCACTGTCATGGGCCAATCTAGTAGTTTATAAAGCCAGCTACTTCTCTGGTAAGACCACTGGGTTCCATGATCTCAAGCCCCAGTTTCTGAATACCCATTCTCAATTAAAGATGTGTTACACAGCTCTGGGTAAGGCCTTTTGTCCAGTTCTGAACAGTGGTACTCACATCTGTGCATGGCCAGAGGAACCAAATCCATTCCCAGAACACGTGTTATTCCTTTGAAGACAAGTCATTGACCCCTTAAAAGGAAGAAGGGTTCCCTGGAATCAACCGGGCAACTGGCTAACTTCTTCTCTTAGTTACTTTCTCACTACTGGGACAAAATACCCAATACACAGTAGTTAAAAGAAAAATGGTTTATTTTATCTCACAGTTTGTAGATGTTTCATTCCATAGTTGCCTGGCTCCAAGGCAAGGAGACATGATGGGAGAGCATGCAAAAAGAGGAACAGTTCACGATGTGGCAGGCAGGAAGCACGGAGCCTTCCTTCTCTTCCTTTTTATTCTATCCAGGCTACAAACCTATTCATTTGCTACCCACATCCAGGATAGGTCTTCCCCTCTTCAGAAAATCCACCATCCACATTCAGAATTATGCTAAGCCAATGAGTGAGCTAACCCAGTATCCCACAGCCAGATCCAACACCACTCACTCATGATCCACTTCCTCTCCAAAACCCTACCTATGACCTCATGGGACTCTGGGGACACATCTACCACCAGGGGCTGGGGAACGTGGGTACCAGAGCCCCCCCTCAAAATGATCTTGTCAACCTGGGTGGCCCAGAGCCTGTTCTCTGCTCATGTCCACTAGTGGGCATTCCACGGAGATCCGCTCATGAACCGGAATGTTCCATTTTCATCACATACATGCATTCACTCTTCATGGGAACTTTAGAGTACAAAGTGGCTGCTTCATACCCTGGAATCTGGAAGTGGCATAGGAACCCAATTCCATGTAAACTTTGGATGAATTTATTCATGAGCAATAAAAGCATAATTCTATAAATGGAAACCTCTTCTCCCTTGGTAAGTACTTCAAAGCCTTTTTTTAATGCTAATCTTTTTTTTTTTTTTTTTTTTTTTTTTTTTTTTTTTTGGTTGAACTGGGGATTGAACTCAGACCCTTGCGCTTGCCAGGCAAGCACTTATTCTACTGAGCCATCTCCCCGCCCCCCCGGTAAGTACTTCAAACAGCAAGCTCATGGTGCAGTTAATACATCATTTAAAAGATATTCTGTCATCAATTAACTCAAGACACTTGACTTTCAGCCAATTCATCATCCAAATTTAATCCTCACCTGAAAGCTGCTTTACCTTGACCAAATCCACTAAAATGCATTATCGAAACAACTCACCCAGAAGGAAAATATAAGGTTTTGAGTTTGGGATACATTGGCCTTTGACTTCCCAGGCAGCTCTATCTTGGCCCAAGTTGCCTCTTGCTAAAATAAGGGCCCGTCTGTGGGCCTGGCAGCTCTGCACATCTAAGCACCTCCCATGTTCAATGTCTGCCACGCATGATCTGGCTTATTTTTAGCCAAAGGTATCTTGAGGGTAAGCACAGAGTTCCAAGTGAAGTTGGAATTTCACTGGTGGCCCAAGTACGGAACTTCAGGCTGCTAAGACCTAAAAGGCTCCTTAAAGACATCTTCCAGTGATTGGATCTTACCAAACTTGTGTTTTGCAAATGAGAAACTGAGAGCCAGAAAAACATATTACCTTCTTCTGTGGTAAATGAACACCACACCCAGCATCCATCTATCTATCTATCTGTCTGTCTGTCTGTCTTTCTTTCTTTTCTCTCTCTTTCTCTCTCTTCTTTCTCTTTCTTCTCCTTCCTTCTTTTCCTTCCTTCCTTCCTTTTTGCTTACTGTTTCTTCATGTCTCTGAGACAGAGTCTCAGACACTGTATTTCTTTTCTACTGCTGTGTGTGATGCCGTGAAGTACCTATTTGGTCTTAGTCTAGCCTCCTGGCATGCAGCTTCCCAACTCCTTGGACTTTCTGTAGTGGTAAAGTTGTCTTTCTTAGGCTGATGTAATGATCAGGGGCTCCAATATAACTTCCTGATAGGGGCTGGGCACTGGAAAGACCACGCCGTAATCAGAAGGTTGGGTGGGACTCCCGACTTCATCCCCCAACCTCTACAGAGAGGGGAGGTACTGATTAAATTGCTCACCATTGGCCAATGATACTCACATAAAAATCCAAAAGGATTGGGTTCAGATGAGCTTCTGAGTCGCTGAACACAGGGAGATGCTGAAGGGTGCTGTCCCACCTCACCCCACGGGTGGAAGCTCTGCAGCCCTTTCCACACACCTTACCTACACCGCTCTTCCATCTGGCTGTCCACCTGCACCTTTTGTAAGGCCCTTTGTAACAAATGGGTAAAGTGGAATGTTTCCCTGAGTTCTATGAGCTGCCCGAGCAAATTAGTCAAATCTGAGGTGAGGGTTGTGGGAACCCTCAATTTATAGCCAGTCAAAAAGTATAGGTGACATCAAGTGGAGGGCTCTTGCACACCGAGCCCTCAATTTGAGGACTCTGACACCATCCTTCAACTAGACACGTGTCATTGAAACCGAATTTGAGGACACTCCGTGGTGTCAGTTGAATTGGTTGGTGAGTGCTCCCTTCCCACACCTGATGTCACAAGTATTGAGTGTACTGTTTGTGACCTGGGTTGGTGGGTATTGAGAAACCAGCACTTTCCATGTATCTAACCCCGTGTAACACATCACCACGAGCCTAGCAGCTTCCAGCGCACCTTTATTATTTCACACTTTCCATGGGCCACAGCTGAGCCATGATTTAGCACTCTGGGAGACAAACAGGCGGATCACAAGCTCCATTCCGCCTGGGCAAGTTAGTACTTAAATAGAACTTGTTTCAGAATAAAAACTTTAAAAAGGTCTGGAGATATAGTTCAGTGTGAAAGCCCCGGGTTCAATCCCCAGCACTGCGAAAAAAAGAAAAGAGAATGCCAGCTGTGTTCTCACCTGCATTATCTAATGGGAAGGAATCTACTTTCTAGGGCATTTGGGTTGCAGGCAGTGTTCATTCCCTTGTGGCTGTAGGACAGAAAGCTGCAGCTCTTTAGTGCTCAGGCGTATCCTGCCCTTCTTTGGGTTCTGTGCTGTCTGTGAACGTCGTGACATACCCATTTACCTGAGCAAGCTGCCAGGGAAGTCTTCAATCTGTTAAAAAGTTTGTACAGCATAAAGTAACAACAGTCCCGACATCTCACCACCTTTGCTTCATTGCGTTAGGAGCTCATGAAGAGCCTGCCAGCACTTCACAGGAAGGCGTCCCCCGAAGACCTCCCCCAGCAGGCGGGAATCATGGAGGGCCCCCGGGAATTTCATCCTTAGAAATGGGTCCGCTTTTCCTATCCTGACAATTCTGATCTGTGTCAGGGATCCCTGGACCTGCACAATTCCGTGTGGAGGTTACTAGGCCCTAAGGTAGCTAGTGCGACCAAAGAACTGAATTTTTAATTTTCAAAAATTTTTAATGGATTCCCACTTAATTTTTAAAACAATTCTAAACTTAGTTATTGGAAAAATACCCATGTGTTGAGAACAGCTTGACCTTGAGTCTACTTTTTCAGTTACAAATACTATGCGATCTATTATCTTCCCCGAAAATTCAGTATTCAAACTGAGAAGTGTGATTAACGCCAGATTCCAAAGACTTAGTATAAAAAAATTAAAAAAATAAAAATAGCAGGAAAAAAAAAGATTGTATGTTGAAATGACGTCCTGTACAAATTGAGATAAGTAAAATATAGTATTAAAGATAACGTCATCTGTTTCAATTGGTTTATATTTTTTAAACTCCAACTAACCAGAATGATTTAATTACACACGTGGCTGTTGCTGACAGCAAATAGAATTTAAGTCTGGATTTAAAATTGGGTTGGCAAGACGCCAGCGTTAGCTGATCACGCATGACAATATCTGATTCACGTTAAACATTAGAACAGGGTAGAAAGATGGGGACATCCGGGGGGGGGGGGGGACAACGTTTGAGACATCGCACCCTCGCGTGGGAGGAGGCGCTACCGCGCCTTCGGGTCCTTTTTGCGGAGCACCCGGCCTGTAAACGCGCTGCGCGATTTGACCCCGGCGTCGCGCCGTAGGCCACGCCGCTTGCTCGGCGGGCGGCCGCGATGGGGGACGTGTCGGAGAGGACGCTGCAGGTGTCCGTGCTGGTGGCCTTCGCCTCTGGAGTGCTTGTGGGCTGGCAGGCAAACCGGCTGCGGAGGCGCTACCTGGACTGGAGGAAGCGGAGGCTGCAGGACAAGCTGGCCACCACGCAGAAGAAGCTGGACCTGGCCTGAGAGGCGGCGCGCGGGGGCCAGCGTGGCGATGCCCGCGGGAGCCCCGTCCCCGGCGGCTGCGAGCCGGGTCCCGCACCCCGGCGTGTGCTGCGCGGTGAGCGGGCGGGGCGGCGCGCGCCTGGGGGGACACCCGGCTGGGCGGCGGCGGGGAGGCGGAGCGGTGGTCTCCAAGCACTTGTTCTCCGGTGTAACCACTGTGTAGTTAACTGCGATTTTTTAAATGGGAATGCCTTACCGTGGGCAAATAGGTGCACCCTGACATTTAACTTCAAAATGGGAAATACTGCAAAGAACCACATAAAAAAAATTATATCGATCGTGATGTGTTTCTGCTCCCTCCCCTCCCTGCAGCATTCGCGTTGGCAACATCCCAGTAGTCCATCTGGGCGTTGAACTTTTGGAAATGCCCACCCGAATTCTTGGGCGGTTGTTGGCCGGGGAAGGTGGAAAGAGCTTTGGCCTGGACATCGGAAACCTTGCGTCCAGGAATAGTTTTGTTTTTTGTTTTTCTTTTTCTTTCTTTTTTTTTTTTTTTTTTTGCGGAACTAGGGATTGAACTCAGGCCTCAGGCCCTTGCGCTTGCGCTTGCCAGGGAAGCACTTATTCCACTGAGCTATCCCCGGGGCCCAGACCTCTCAGGCATAGTTTTGTTTTTTTTTTTCATCCGAGTTGTGCCACATCATTTTTCAGGGCCACAGTTTTCTTGTGTAATATCTGATCTTATAGTCCATGGCTTAATAAAAAATAATTCGGAGTTAAAGATTATGTATTACTAACTTTATTTTCTCCTGTTTCCCGCAGTTTGTCGACGATGGATGTAAAAGCACTGGGAAGAAATAATTTCTTACTGGACTTTATGAATCTATTTTTAAAATAAAAAATGTTAACTCTTTGGACCTTTCCCAAAGGGAAACGAGTGGTGCTTGTCTTTACTGCATCAGGAGACCCAGATTCTTAAAGCTGAAGTTTGTTGTTTTGAGCAGCCATCAGTCCTCTTTCCTGTGGAACCTGTGCCAGTTCCTTGGTACGGTGACAAGGGAGAGTAGCGATGGGACCATTATGGTCTCATTACTCAGCCTGCTTGCTCAGGAAAGCAGGACAGTGTGTACCATAGCTGCAGTAAGGATGGTAAATGTAAGGCCTGTGCACAATGTAAGTTGTTTTTGGCTAAAATCTCCTTTATGTGTCATGAAATATACATGTGAAAGAGAAACCCTCTTGCATAGAGAGGTCAGGGATAAATCCTAACCATTCTCAAGATTGAGTGACCAAGACCCCGGTTAATTTTGAGATGCAAGAGGTGTTTTGTGGCACACTGTCCTTGCCACAAAGATTGTGTATCTCAGCTCTGTTTAAGATGACTTGGGATAGCTGTTTCTGAGAGAGCCACGCTTTCACTTCCCATTTTACAAGGGCTGCTGTGCTTTACTAGTTCCAACTTTTTCTTCATTCATTCTGTAAATGCAGAAGGTGGGACTGAAAGGCTGATTCTTAGACCTCCACCCTATGTGGGCCAGTTTCCTGAAGCTTCCTACTCATATCACTCCTTGAGGCTCAGAGATCCGAGGCTTTGTGAAATGAGGTAAGTTTCTTGAGGCAAATGTTGTCTTCAGACTATTGGAATATGCCCGATGAAGCCTCTGGGTTCTGACTGGTTGGTCTAATTTGGTCTCTTTGGGCCTGTTCCACTGTCACCATCCTGATGTACCTGATCTTTCCAACGCTGATTCTCACTATTCCTTGGCTTCCCCGTTTACACCTCGCATTCCTCATAGATCACGCCACCATGTAAGATAAAGGCTACTAGCTGAGAATTCCTGCCTCTCTCAGCTATAATTTTGACCAGGCTGCCCATTAAGCAGTTATAACCTTAGCATCTACTGAAATTCGGGTGCAGATCTATAAAGTTTGAGTTCATCCAGTTGTGCCTAGCTTGGGTCTGGCTGCTGTGCTGAAGTGGGCCTGTTGTGCCCCTCTGACAAGATGTTCTGCTCCTGGATTAGCTGGGTGGTTCTGGCCCCTAGCCTCTCTGCAGGACTTCAGCTGCAGAGTTTCACCTCAGGCCTGTATGCCAGGCCTGGGTTTTGTCTGGAGGGGTCCAGAGAGCAGGACAGAAGGACTCGCTCACAAGTGGGCCTAGGCTGGGTCCGGAGGGATCCAGCGGGCGTAGGAGAGCGTAGATGCTCTCCCACACACTCGACAGGCGTGTGCTTGGGTTGGGTCTCCAGGCTGCCCATTATGATCACCTAGGGCGACATTAAATAACCAACCCCTTGCCAGGCACACTGACACCCATCTATAATCCCAGCAATCTGGGAGGCTGAGTCCAGAGGATCAAGTTCTAGCCCAGCCTGGGCAACTCAACAAGAAAGTAAAAAAAAGGCTGGGGATATAGCTGAGTGCAAAGCTGCTGGGTTTAGTTTCCAGTACCCACCACAACCACACACACATGCACACAAAAGTAGCATGTGGCACATGCCTGTAATCCTAAGTAATTAGGAGGATCAAATGTTCAAGGCTAGCCAGAGTGACACAGTGAGACCATGTCTTAAAACTAAAGAGTTGAGGGTATAGCTTAGTCCTAGAACACCACATAAGGCCCTGGGTTCAATCACCAATATGAAAATAAGACATCCCCCCAATAACAATCCCTGTGTACCACTCCCCAGGGATTTGGGGTGACAGACTATGGCCTGGACATTAGGATTTTTAACCACTTAACAGTTTGCCCTGAGCATCACTGGCAGTGCATTTGTTACGTATTGACTGTCCAGAGCATTGCTCAGACGGGTGTCATTTCAACCCATCGATTCTTATGTTGAATACACTTAATACAATTGTCATTTTCTATTTCCTGTTACAAACAACCAAACATACACAATTTTTAGTTATCCATTTAAATAACTGGACTAGTGAGTGGTTGGGGCACCTCAGATAATTATTGCTCCGTTGAGGTTGCAACCCATTGTTTTGGTAAGAAATTTTTGTGATTTTATTGTATCATGAGGCATTGTATCATCTGAGCAAATCAGTATTTGGGTGATAAGGCAGCTGCTTTCTTTTTCAGTTCTTTGGGTCACCACAGCAACTTGTCAATGGATTAAACAATAATAATAAAAGGACAATCTTTTGCATTATTTAAGTCTTTCCAAGGCACATGCTAGTGCAGCACAGACTTCTCCTGCCTCATGCAACTAGTCTAGCGCCCAAACATCATGCACAACACTGGCAGCAGCTGCAGCAGCACACTGCACCACGTCTACCACAGCCCTGCTTGCTGATGTAGGATTTTGGAGCATCTGGAGGAGTGGAACAGTATCAGCAAGGGGGAGGAGGAAACAGCATGAGGGCCTGGCTGGGACAAGGCCAGTTGAAGTTGTGCAGGGCAGGCCTAAGCATATTGGTGCGAACCCAAGCATCACTGATGTTCTTTAGTGGGAACATCCGGTGGGATGCCATGATGGGGACCTCATCGGCCTCGAGCTGGCACACACTATGCTGATGCAGCTATCTGGTGTAGGCCGATGGTCCAGCGTCATGATGAACAGGAACAGAAGGCTAGACAACTTCTCCCCAGTGCAGCTTTCCCCTAGAACTGCTGTCCTTCCCATGTAAGGCATGATGGATGGATCAATGTAAATTGCCGGTTAAGTTCTGCCTTTATTAAATAACTGGTAATAATGTTAAATGAAGCTGTATTCAATCTGTGCCCAAATTATCTTGTCTCCCATTCCATAGTATCACCTGGTATCACTTAGACCCATGTTGGCTCTGGAGGAAGCCAGGTGGCACTGCCCATCCCTGGATCTTTGCAGACTTGTGGCAGACCATGGGGCTAGGGTCTGCCTGCTGTAGCCTACCTGCAGAGATGGCAAGATTCTAGCCAACCAGGCCACTTGGGGTGGATCCCTAAAAGCCCCATCGAATGGTCAGGATCAGAAAAAAAGTCTGGCCACAGTGCAGGCCACAACACAGGCCAGCACACCAACCATGACACCGCATGGTCCAGATAGGCACCTGCCTGGCTCTCAGCATGGCTGCTGCCTCAGAGGACTAGAGGGGCCTGAACCCCTTGTTCTTGAGGCTCTGCCTCAGTCACTTTTCTTATCAGGAGAGACACAGGGGCCCCTTTCCAGGCTACTCTCTGGCCTTGGTTGTATTCTGTAGCCTGTCCTTGTCCCCACTCCCATCCCAGGACCTTCCCCCCAGTACACTGTCTAGCACCTGCAGCCTCTTCCTGTTTAGCCTTTGGTCAGGAAACACAGGTCTTGACTTAAGATTCCACTGAGAATAAGCAAACTATAGCTACAGAGAACACAGCATCTTGTAAACATGATGTTAAAAGTACACAAGAAACCAGTGCAGGGGCCAGGGAGATAGCTCAGTAGAATAAGCACTTCCCTGGCAAGCACAAGGGCCTGAGTTCAAATCCCTGGTTCTGCCAAAAAAAAAAAACCAAAACAACAACAACAAAAAGAAACCAGTGCACACTGCCTGATTCCACTATACAGTTCAAAAGGAACCAAAACAAGTTTGGGTCGTTGTAACCTAAGGTAAAACTAAGAGATGAAGAGGAGGGAAAGGACTGAAAAAGCATTAAGATGTGTCCTGTACAAGTACCAATACCCCGTGTGATCGTTATGTGCTGCAAACTTCTACTAACAAAAAATAACGGTAGAATGTAGCTTCGGTGGTTGGAGTTGAGGGTGCTAGGAACTAAGCGACGACATGGGGTGCACGGAATGTTCTGCTTTTTAATCTTGATGCAGTTATATGCTGTGTGTTCAGCACGTGCAAGTACAGTGAGCTGCACCTTCGTGGTCTGTTTTTCTCCATGTATACACTTGAACAAATACATAAACAAATGACACTTCAGCCCGGCCTGCGTTATTACATGCTGTACTGAACAACACCATTTAGATGAATGTGCTCCATCATTTCGGAGACGAGCGTGGACCATCATCATTGACACTCAAGGGGAATTCTGCTGTAGCGTTGTCTGGGAGGTGAATTGAGAGGCTTGCGTCCCCTTTGGGGAAACTGAGGCTCACAACGGAGAACTCATAATTTGCTCGTAGACTTGCTGTAGGGCGAATCACCACCACCGCCCTACAGAATTCAGGATGGACCACGTGCGAATTCAGAAGACGACGAAACATCCGGAATACCCCAAACGGCAAAGAGTAAACAACTGCCTTTTTAAAAGTGCGATATGCCCTAGAACCAGGCATCCCATGGGGGCTGAAAAGTTCTTGTAGTTAAGGAAAGCGTTTACGAGGCTCAACTCGTTTCATAAGTTTAGCGAAAAGGACAGTAAGACCCGAACTGCACAACACAGTACCCCAAAAGGAACGTCGTGTAACGCCCATGTAATGTGAGACGTGTAGTTTTGGATGCCAGGAGGCATTCTCCAAATCCTTCGGAATTAGTGAGGGAAAATAATTCCGTAGCCAGCGAGAGCTAGCTGAGCGCCAAGGACGCGCGAGGCTAGATCGGGAGGCGGGCGCGCGGCGATGGCGTCATCATCCCGCGTCAACGCCCCGGTTTCCCTGGCAACCGGCGGGACCGTGGCACAGCGGCAGGGGAGATGCTACCCCGGCGTCCGCGGGGCCCTTTGCAGGCGGTGCGGCGCCGCAGTCAGGAGCTGAAGCTACAGGTGCGTTGCGCGGTGCGGCGCGGGACCCGGGCCTGAGGAGGGGCCGGCCCTGCGGCGGGCGGGAGGTGGGCGCAGCTGCGCGCTCGGCGCCCTCGGCTCCGCGACCCCGGCTCCTATCACCCCTCCCCCGGGTCGTGAGGCCCCACCCCGCAGTCGCTGCGCCCTACCCGGCTTCGAACCCATCCGCAGCCCTAGCCAAGCCCCGACCACGGACGCCCTCCGCCCTAAGCACTCCGCCTCCCGCCCGACGGCGCCCCGCCTCCCAGCCGGAGCTCGGCTGCAGGCCCCCCGACCGAGCCTCAGGCCGCGCACCCCCGGCCGCCCTCCGCGCCGCGCCTGCCCGCTGCGCGAGCCCCGGAGGCCGGGTCACGCCGCGTGCTTCGTGCGCAGGAACAGTAAGATCCGATAAACGGAACCGAGGACGTGAACTAAGGAGGAAATACAAGTAACTTGTAAACACTAGGGAGCCGTTTCGGAGACGAGATAGCGCGAACATTTAAAAGTCGCGTTACTCAGTTCTGGGGACAATAACCGAACAGACACTTAACGTTGGCTGACCAGGTGTGTAAGGTACAGCATTTCTGGAAATCAGTTTGACAATGCAGCAAATATTCACACTCCTCAAGGGTAATCTTTCATGTGAAATAAAACTTAGGACAAAGATCCACGGGTAAATATATTCATCGCATTACTGCTTATAGTAGAAAAAAAAAATACTGTGACAAGTGATCAGTAATAGAGGAATGGATAAATTACAGGGTTAGAAAAGTACTGTGATTAAAAATTGTTAAAGAAATTTACCGTATAGGGAAAATATGATAAAATAGCAAATTAGAGATCTAGAATGGAATATACAGTATTTCAGATATAGATATATATGTAGAAGATCTAAAATGGTACCTGTGTCATTAAATACTAGCTTATTTTTCTTGCTTGAATATGTTTTCAAAGCGCTACGTGCTTATTTAAAAATAAGAAAAAAACAGTAATGGTGTGTTCCTTTATTTTCTGAAATTTGTTTTTCATTTTACTGTTTGTACTGTTTTTTGTTTCTGTGTTTGTTTTGATAGAGGATCTTGCTACACAGTTCAGACTCCTAGTGATCCTCCTTTCTCAGCTTACCCAGCACTGGGATTACAGGCATGTGCCACCAGGCACAGTTTTAGGGTGGCACAGCATGTTGTACTGGGGATCAAACTTGGGTCCCTGCACTTGCCAGGCAGGCACTTAGACCACCAGGCTATTTCCCCAGCCCGTACTATTTGTACTTTTTAGTGTATGGTTCACTGTATATTTTTCCACTAAGTAAGATTATTACGTGTTCTCTGACAAATAAAAAATGTTGTCATGTTCATATTTTATGCTGTTTCAATTCTTATTTTAAAATTCAAAGTTTAGTTCCTTTCGTACTTGCCTGGCATGTGCAAGACCCTAGGTTCCATCTCCAGCATAATGGGAAGGAGAAAAAATTTAAATATTTTTAGCATAAAGGAGTAATAAATATTTAAAAAGATAGATACGTCCAGCTGATTTAAACTATCTATACATGTATTGAAGTGAATCTTTGTTTCAGTTAAAATAAATTAAATTGAAGAAAGTACAAAAGATTTGACAGAAATTTTAGTGACTTTAAAAGGTAAAATTTAGTTAATTACACCGACTTTAGAATCCTAGTGGTGCAAAAGAAACAAAATACTCTGGACAAATAAAGGTAAAATTTGATGGGGCACTGACTTCTGCTGGGTTTTACTAGACTTAATGTGGTTCTTATCTAATTTTAAATTCAGTGAGACATTAGAAGAACCAGGACAAGTTTCAGGAACAAACTATAAAAATAATTATTAAAGCAAAATAAAACACAATTACGGGGATTATTTAATGTGGATCAAATTGAATCAGGAGCATTTTAGTAGGACATTTTGATAATATTAGCTAGTTATCTCTACAATAGACACCTGAAGCAAAAAAAAAAAGAAAAGAAAAAGGCATGCTCTTCCAAGTCGGTGTCTGTGGACAAGGAATGCACTTCTGTTGGGGGTGCGCCTGGGGTGCCTGGCCCCAGCAGTGGGTGGGTGATTTTGTAAATAACACTCAGGTGGATGCCAAATAGGAAGCACACAGAAGACCCTAGTGAAATTTTGTCCGTTTTGATGCACAAAAGAAACCAGAGATGTGCCTCTTTTGTGTGGTACATTGACAAAAGGGTGCATGTGATACACACAGTTGTTGAAATACTAAGTCAGGATAAACAAAGTCGCAGTGCACTTGATACAGTGAATTCCACTCCGTAATAAGAAATGCACTCATGTAGTAATGTGGAAGAATCTCAAACATGGTACCATGGAGTGGCTTATACAACAATATATACTGTGTAGGTCCATTTATTTCAAAGGGTAAGAGCAGTCAAAGTTAATGTTCGGTGGAAAAAATCAGAACAGGTTTGTCTGGAAGAATGAGATGAGGATTTGCTGGGAAAGGTAACAGGAACTTTCTAAGGTAATTTCCTGTATCCTCATAGGGATTTGAGTATATAAGTGTATGCATTTGTCAAAATGTGACAAAGGTACACTTTAGACGTGTGCATCCAGCATGCAGATCTCATATTAGGTATTGAATCTAGTTAATGACAGCCTGAGCTCATTTTTCAAGAAGAGGTGGATTGATGACAGCAGTTTACTTTGAAATGCATATAAAATAAGGTGGACTGATGAATGGAGAAGTCAGGCACAGAGAAATGTTCAGCGTAGAATCTCTAGTTATGGGGGATGAGTATTTGTTGTAAAATTCTTTCAGCTTTATTATTATTTTTTTCAGCTTTATTATTGTGTTTTTCAAACTGTTCATTATATATTGGGGTAAAAAGAGAACCAAAACATTTTCTAGGGTGATGTTTTAAACTGTCTCCATTTGCCGTAGGTTGATGATTTGCTTTCTGAAAGCCAATTGAAAGGAGCTCTAGAATCTAATAAAAGGCAAGATATTTACCAAAGGTAGAGTATGCAAATTATCCGTACTTTCTGGAGCTGTGCTTAGGTTTCATTGAGAAGTACTTGAGACCCTGAAATCGGTTCAAGCTTTCTTTCTTTTTTCTTTCTCTTTTCTCTTTCCTTCCCACCCATTCTTTCTTCCTTTATTTATATAATTTCCAAAAAGACAAATGGAAATACTATTGACCTAACAATGAATGAAATTTTCCAAAATGTATGTTATGTTTGATCTAAGCCAAAAGGCTAAGAAGTGATCCAAAATGTATTTTAAAATGCACTTTTCAGATCATCAAAGCCCATAGGTTTTCCTACATGTGAATTTTTAGGCATTATTCCTGCAATAGCTAATTGCCTTGCCTGCCTAGAGTATATAATTTTATGAAAAAACTTTCTGATTCTGTAAGCTAATAAGCACTGTGTTTTCTTTCTTTTTAAAAATTTAGATGTGTTCAGTTAAAACAGGCAATAGATGAAAATAAAGCCACTCTTCAAAAATTAAAGAAGGTAAGCATTATAGTTAATCATGTTACAAAAAAAAAAAAATCTCATATTCAAATGTTTTCACTAGCTGGGAATGAAGTACAGTTGCCGAGGCCCTGGGTTTGCCTTAGGGAGGGAGTCTAACCACACTCATGCCAAGCTGCCCAACAGGTTGCCAAGTGCCCGCTGTGGGGCAGAAATGCCACAGCTTGGGGTACTGAAAAATAACCCAGCTCTGGTGAGTCACCCAGCATTGAGGACTCAGCAGATCTCAAAGAAGCTATTTTTAAAGATTGTATAAGGTCCAGGGCCGCCATGTAGAACTGTTTCTCTTTTAGTCCTATTGTGGGGAGAGAGCACACAGTTCAGTCCTCAAGTGAGTGGTGACAATCCCTGTGTCACTGTAGTGCCAGTGACTGCAGAGATGGGAGGATGAGAGTCTGCCTTGGGGATCCTTTGGGATCCTTTGTGTTTGAGCCTGAGCTTCAGCTGGGTGCCCAGAGCTGCAGACCCACGGGACTTAGCATGGAAGGCTCCCCAAATCAGCACCCTGCTGTGTCTGAGCCCATCTCACTGAGCCTCAGCATTCTTCTGCAGAGGCACACAATTGTCCAACTTAGGAGGCAGGGAGACCCTAAATTTGAAAACTTAATTAGTCTTGCTTTTCAAATAAGAAAACAGGCTCTGATGGGTGAAGAACCCAGGTCTTCCTGTCAGTAAGTGGCAGAATTCAGGACTGGCCCCTATCATTCAGGCTCTAGAGCCAGTCTTGTGTCACAGCTTGCCCCTTCCTGGCTAGGGAGCATCCGCAATCCTTAGCACAAAAAGAAAGAAAAACCCAAGACAAGCGGTGGTGTAGTTTTCATCTGGCTTGCAGTCCAACTCATAGAGCCATGTTTCTTTAACTCACTCACTTCTGCAATGTGAACATCACTTCACAGTGATGCTTATTTTGCCTGACAGCACTTAAAGGAATTTTGGGGTTTTGTTTGTTTATTTATTTATTTATTTAGAGTGTGTGTGTGTGTGTGTGTGTGTGGCCAGCTCAGCCCACCAGGGGGCGGGGCTGGCTGGCATGTGGTGCTGGGGGATTGAACCGCGGTCCCTGTGCTTTGCTAAGCTTGTTCTAAGTAGGTGCTTTAGACCACTGAGCCATCTCACCAGCCCCTAAAGGAATTTTGGATTTTATTCTTTTAAAATAAATATGATTAGGGAAGTGGAATTCATTTCTCAGTGAACCAGAGCCGTGTTCTCTTGTAGGCTGACGAAGCTGCACCTGTCGGGAACTATGATCAGAGGAAGGAGGAGGAGCAGGCCCTGCTGGACAAGCTTACCCACCAGCTGCAGGAGCTCGCTGTGGCCATGAGTAAAGAGAATGCGACCAAGTATGCCTTCTTCCTGCCTTTCTCTAGATTATTTTTTTAAAATTGTTTTTAGTACTAGAGATTGAATCCAGGGCTTTGGCCCTGAGCTACATCCCCAGAATTTTTAAAAAAACTTATTTCCTATTTTGAGACAGGATCTCAGTAAGTTGCCTAGTCTTGGCTCAAACGTGTGGAGTCCAGGATATAGGTGGGCAGCACCATGCCCAACACTACCAGTTTTTATATTTGAGGATAAGTCAGGATAGAAACAAACAAAAAATGACAGTAACTGTGTCCACATTTATTTACTGTGTATAATAGAATGCCTTAGAGCCCATGAGATTTATAGAAAAGCATAAACTGTAGTCTCTGCTTTCCTGATACTTATATCTGGTTGTGGAAACAAAACATGTGAAAAGAAGGCTGCCTTTAATGTTGTTATCAATGCGTAAGCGGTAAAATGATTTGGTTGTTTACATAGTCCTTTGGTAGGTGTTCTTTAAAAATTTGAAGCAAAAGCATCCATTGTTTTTCTACTAGAGAGATCATTAATAATAGATTTTGCAAATATCAAGATTTTTATGTATAAACAAACCAACTTCTAGGGAGCCTCCCCAAAGTCAGTTACTATTGATGCTCTCTAAGTGCAATTCCCAGCTTTTAGTCTGCATCCTGGAAAAAACACTATGCAAGAATGTAGAATTCCCACTGAGTCCCAGGAGGAGAGAGACAGAATAGCTCGGTCTGCACCTCCTTTCCATGCAAACAAGCCTAAAGTCTGGGCAGAATGTCAGAGCAGCTGTCTGCAGGCACCGTGCATCAGCTGAGCAGGCTCAGGTCCTGGTATGGGGAGAGACGGGGTGAGGCCTGCGTTCACCCAGGCTTCTTCCCTGGGATTGCAGGCTAGCTGTGCTGCAAGAAGGTGGACCCACAGCAGGAAGAAGCAGTCTCGCTGGCCTGCGGAGCTGAGGCCCCTGGACTGCAGAGTGAGGTGCTATAGAAAGAAGGGCGTTGAAAAGAGGCGACTCCAGAATCTTCCCCAGGAGAAAGATTGCAAATGTTTAAGAAAAAATAATACCACTATCAGGGAATCTCCCTAGAAAATAGAAAAAGAATCCAAATCACTTTATGAACAATTGGATAACATTGATATCAAATGCTGACAAAAAGTGCTATAAGAAAATCACAAGACAAGACCAGGCGTGGTGGTGAATGCCTGTAATCCCAGCGCTGGGGAAGCTGAAAACAGGAGGATCACTGCGAGTCGGAGCTGTGTAGTGAGACCCTGTATGAAACACATAAAAATGGAAAATCACGGGTTGTTCATGCACAGAGGCACATGCCCAGTGTGGAGATAGCAGCAGATCAAATCCAAAGGCAAATCGGGAGGAGGATACAGCATGGGCAAGTATACATGGTTGGTTTCACATTAAGGAATGAATGATTAAAATTCACCACATGAACATTAATGAAAGTGAAAACCCATGCCAAGTTCCTGTTATCCTTGATGACATTTTAGAGCAGTAGACCCATGTGAAATATGTGCAGAGTCTCTCTTAAAGAAAGGGACACATTAAAAATCAATATATAGTTTATAGATTTTTGTTCTTGTGGTATACAGATTATTTTTTATTTAATTTTTGTTTATGTTTAGGACAGTATTGTATGAGAGTCCTACACTTATTTTAAACAAAGACATTCCAGCGGTGGTGGTGAACCTCTTAAGGCTTTCAGTGATAGTCAGCAGCCCTCTGCAGTGTGCATGCCGCAACTTTGCCTCAGCTGCTCCTCAGCTGCTCCAGAAAGCCATGGGGTGTCTTACTTGTTAGATGTTCTTTTGTTTTTTGTTTTTTGGGGTTTTTTTGGCAGAACCAGAGATTGAACTCAGGCCCTTGCACTTGCCAGGGAGACATTTATTCCACTGAGCCATCTCCCCGGCCCCAAGATTTTCTTTTGTGTTAGTTTTAAGTATTGTTAGCCCCATTAGTGTTAAGTTTAAAGTTAAACTGAAAGGGGATCCCCTCTGTACCCTTCTTCTTGGCCTTCTCTCGAGCTCTTTCCTGGCCCTTGGCATACCATGTGTGAGCTACTTATTGTTCCTGGCCTTGAACGTCCTTTCTCCTCTCCCTTTTCTTTCTGCTCTTTTTTTTTTGCTGAATAATTGCAACTCCTCCTGGAGACCTAATTCGAAGCCTTTTTGGATTCCCTATGCAGCCTGGTTGGATGTCTCCCCTGTATGATTTCTTAGCATCCTGGGCATACATCTCCTGTAGTACCTCCTGAGCTGTATCAAAATTGTGTTTCCTAGACCTTCCCAACATAAGTTCCTTTAGCACAGGGTCCGCCTTTGCATCCCTCGCGTCTCACATAGAACCTGACTTGCGCCATCGGTATCATCATAGCTGACTTGGATGGAAAGCTTCGCGTGGGCAGGCATCTTCTTAACACTCAGCAGGTGGTAACGCTTCTAACTCTTGTGACCACGGTAACCAACAGGATCGATTATTATCCTGACTTGGCCAATGAGAAATAGAGAGCTTACCGGAAACCTACCAAGCTCCTCCACGGAAGAGAGCATAGGACCAGAATTTAAACCCTCTTCCTGTGTGCTAGTGCTGTAATGTTGCTCAGGGAACGTCTGCTGAGGGGATATTTCCAGGATTTGAACAGGCTTCCTGGGTTTGAGTCCAATTCGTGTCCTGCATCTCACGTGCCATGTTCAGATGTTTCTATCCTTGGTCCTCCACAGCTTACCTGCTCAGCTGGGTGGCGGAAACCAGTAGTTGTACTTTCCCCTTAGTTCTTCTATTTACCAGCTCTAAATATGGAGCAATTCTTCTACATACAGAAATTCTGCTCATACTCAGTCTGTTCTTTTTTTTTTTTTTTTTTTTCTTTTTTTTGCGGTAACGGATTGAACTCAGGACCTTGCACTTGTCAGGCGGGCACTTATTCTACTGAGCTATCTCCCCAGCCCCTCTGTCTGTTCTTGTATGTTCCCTCAAGTGGCCACAGTCATAGAAATGCTTTTTGTAGGACTGATGCACGTACCGAAAAGGAGAAAGATGCACATTCTACTGAAGAGGAGCCAGATGGTAATGATGATGGTGATAATGGTGACAGTGGTGACAGTGGTGATGAAGATGAAGGAGAAGAAGACAGTGAAGAAAGCAGTGGGCGGGAAGAAGAATCAGAGGAGGAGGAAGAGCAGCAGGGAGCTGACTCTCTCAGAGAAGCAGCCAATAAAGAATATGTTGCGCTGGGAGACTTTACTGCTCAGCAAGATGGGGATCTTACGTTTAAGGTGAGTAGAAGAAACCAAAACCGAATCTCACAGAGTAGCTGTGCACACTTAGTGAGCTAAGAAAAGTCTTCCTGTGCACCTGTGTCGGGGTGGGGGCGAGACAGGGTCTCCCTTTCTAGTTTAAGCTGGCCTGGAACTGACTGCAGGGCCTCCCAAGTGCTGGCATTACCGGAGTGCACCACCATGGCCAGCTAGGTACACCTGCGTTACATAGTCCTGCTTCAAGCTTTTTAAGACTCACGCTGTCTAAAGAAGTAATAACTTTCGTGTATAGCTAGTAGTACTATGAGATTCTGTCACTGATGTTACCTCTTCTATAGCATTTGAAAATTAGCTTTAGTGTTGCTGATTCTCAATCAGGGACAGAATTTTATGATTCTTTTTGAGCATCACAGGTTTGGGGTTACTCAGCTGAGTCAGGCCGGGTGCTTAGCTAGTGGTAGCAGGGAACACTGTGCTGTCAGTGGTGCCTCTCCTTGTTGATTCAGACAGGAAAGGGACTTTCATCCCTGTTTGCTTGGCCTGTGCATAAATAAATGGAAGTTGGGATGGAAAAATAACATAGTGGTTGTAAAAGAGATCGGAAGCCAGGTGTGGTGGTGCCCTCCTGTAATCCCAGCACTCTGGAGGCTGAGGCTGGAGGATTGCAAGTTCAGGCCCAGCCTGAGCTTCATAGTGAGTTCAAGCCCACCCTGGACTACATGGCAAGACCCTGGCTTAGAAAAATAAAAACAAAAAGGGTGGTAGAGGGATTGAGACCGTTTTCTGCTAGCAAAATGAGTCAAAGAAATGTGAATGAATGTGTAAACTATGGTTATGTTTATTTACCTACAAGTTTAATTAACTGATTGCTAATGAAATATGCAAATGATCATGAAATGTGGTTGTCCTTTGTACATAAGATCCAAATGTGTGTTAAGCAACCAAGTGGAATGATTTATTTATAATAGTTATAGTTATGTAGGGAAGCTTTTGATAAAAGTTAGGATAAACAATGGGTTAGAAAAATATCTTTATTCCAACATGCATTTTGAAGCATTTGTAATGAAGTAATACTCATGTCTATTGAGTTTTCCTTTAAAGTTTTGATTTTCTATTGCTTTAAGAAAGGGGAAATTCTCCTTATAATTGAAAAGAAGCCCGATGGTTGGTGGATAGCCAAGAATGCTAAAGGAAATGAAGGCCTTATTCCCAGAACCTACCTGGAGGTGAGTGTTGTTCATGCTTCAGTTCTCCTTCAACTATTTTCAATTTTAATAAAGCATTAAGTTATAGTCCTTGATCAATAGATTGATTAGTGAATGAATTCAGATACCAAATTTGCTTTAATTTTAGAGCTCGAGTTGAGGAAAACCAGCTGTGTATTAGTGGGCCTGGGTTCCTGTGAAATACTCGTATGCTTGGGAGCCCTGGAACTCTCCTACTGGGAAGCTTTGTAAGCTAGTGCTCTTCATAGCCAGGCGTCGTTAGCCTCGAGGAACCCGACCAGTTAGCTCTATGCTAACTTCCAGCTACTGTAATAGCCTCTGCCTTGTCTGTTACTGGATTACGGCTAATTGGAGTAACACTTTCAACTTTCTCTGCCTGCTTGTCGAGGTGGTAGATTTCAACACAAATGCCACTCTCGTGTTTCTCCACAATTGCTTTCTTTTCTTTTTTTCTTTTTTTTTTGATAGTTTTTAAAAAAATAATTTTATTGAGAAACAAATAGCAGTGCAATAGTTTCAAAACCGATTAGTGGGACATTTCAATAATTAATACATTGCACATTGTTGTCTTCTTAGTGGTTTTTCATAGTACAAGATGCAGACTTGGTATCCTGTCCGCAAACACTGTTAGTGCAAATCTTTCTATTCATTGAATTAAGAGAAAGTAGCTATATATGTGTCCTATTTTGAACATACAGATACAAAATGGTCCTTCATTTGTATCCCCTTTTTTGTTTAGTTTTGTCAGAGATGAGTATTCTATTGTCATTTAAATATTGTAGGTGTATAAATTCAGCAAAATATTCCAATATAGTCCAGGGGTCCATAATAGTAGAGGGTCATCCGTAGGACTGAATTGCCTTCTTTTCGATTGTGATTTCCTTCTCTACCTTCTTGAGCTTTTGTAGTTGTGGGGGCCATTTTGATAGCAGTAATCATAGCAGTTATAGAAAGCAGTGACAGAAATTACAGCCACAAATGCGCATCGGGGCTCAGACTGATGGTTACTTGTACCTTTCTGGCATCTCAAGTCTGTTTACAACCACATAAGCGGCCAGCATCCAGTTTGAAACTCAAGACCTTGGTCATCGGTTCAACCTCATATTCCAGTTGTAACCCACTATGTTTGTATGAGGCCCACCGTGTATCATCAGCGCCTTACTCACATGTGAGCATATGGGACATGCACGTGTGTGCCTATTTTTTTTGTTTATTTGTTTTTTGTGGTACCAGGGATTGAACTCAGGGCCTTACACTTACCAGGCAAGCATTTATTCTACTGAGCTATCTCCCTGGCCATCTATTTTTATTATTTCCTAATATAGAATAGTCATTTTCTGTGCCGAGTAATACAGACGCCTATCTTGAGTTGGTGCTGCCCAAGAGAACTCAAACACATATCACATGTGGAATTTATGAGATTTTTCTCTGACACCAAAGCTATATGTCATTTCCACATCAATTCTCCCCTACCAACCAGTGCCCAACCATTCTGCTGGGTCTGACACTAACTCCTGAAGTCCAGACCCTGCAGTTCTGCCAGCCTGCACCAGGTTCCAGGGCCACGCGTGAATTCCAGAAGCCATCAATTCTTCAGTGTCCACAAATCCAGGAGTGCCCTCTACCTTTCTGAAGAGGTCAGTTCACTATAATATTCACAGAACTTAAGAAAACACTTAACAAGTTGTCCTCTATATCCAAGGATTTCAGATCTGTACATTCAACCAACATCATGTCAAAAATATTTGAGAAAATCAGTTGTATATGTATTGAACATGTACAAACTTTTTTCTTGCCATTATTCCCTCAACAATATAGCATAACAGTCATTCACATAGTATTTGCATTGTGTTAAATATTATCAGAAATTAGAGATGAGTTGAAGTATATAGGAAGATGGATACAGGTTATATGCAAATACTCAACCATTTTTTATAGGAGACATGAGCATCCTTGAGTTTTGGTATTCATGAGAGGTTCTGAGTCATACATCTTGAGGATACTGAGAAAAGATTACACTTGCATTTACTCAGTTGTTATATAGGACCCAACTCAAGTGTAGCTAGATAGGAAAGATGCATAGGGCAAGGTATTGGGGTATGTTGGCTTATACACTGTCTCTGGGTCTGCACCCTCCTGGTATTTTGGTGTGTTCACCAGTCTGAAAAGTCTCAGGGAGTTTCCACTTAGTTTAATTGATTTCAATTCATTGCCCCAGGGGAGCCACTGAGCAGGGGTGATTGGGCCTGCCTCCAGCTCCTGCCTTCCCCAGAGGTTGGCGTGAGCATTTCAGTGTCTAATCCCGTGGCCTGTTCCTCTGGCAGCCAGCCTTCTCCCTGGAGCTGTCTGCAGACCATCTGGCGGTAGCATAACCACTAACATGATCGAAAGGAATAATAATCTTATGGATAAGAAAGCATACGATATTCAGGAAATTCCAAGGGTTCGTGTCTGCCAGGAACAGTGAGACCAAATGCCTGTTTCTCAGTGCCCACATTAAAAAAAGCAAAATGAAATGGAGTTGTTCTTAATACTGTTGTATACTACCCAGCATATTGTACATATAATTTTAACATACAACCAGAATTCTAAAGCATGAGCTGTTTTCCTTTTCACATCAAGCTCAAAGGCCAGCATGCAGTTTATGTTCACAGCACAGCTCCATCTGGACTGAAATGAAAAGCTCAGTAGCCACATGCAGTAGGGGCTGCTGGGTCGTGCCGGACAGGTCTGAATCATGTTTTGATAGGCAGCAAGTGTTCTGGTCCCACTTAGGCACACACATGTAGGCTGTGTACACCCTGTGATTACTATTGTGTTGCAGAGAAGCTACAGTTAGCTGCCTCTGAGTTACAAAGGATCTTCATCCGGAAGTGGCTGACCTAAGAGAAGCCCATTTCTCTCAAGAGTGGAAGAGTGTAAAGGTGACCACCACACACCAGTTAGGGCTCTGTCTGATACTGTATTCCGTAGCTACATGTGAGGCAGCTCTTCCTGTTACATCTATTGCCAGACCTTTTAATGACTACGCAGTGAAAGGGAAAGAGAGCAGGAGTGAAGTGGCAGAAACTGTTACTCCTGTAAGAAAGGTTCCTGGAGGCTACACAAGAACTTCCAGTGGATCTCATGGACCAGCATCTAGTTCCATGGCAACAACTGGCTGCCGGGAGGGTTAGCAGGCACACTGCTGAAGTCAAGGCTTCTGTTAGGGAGAAGGGGCGGAGACCAGGTCACAGCCAGCCAGCACCCTGCTTCGATCAGTCTGCACATGCATCTCTGCGGGCTTGCTTAGTTATTCCTCTTGCAGAAATCCCTAGTGTCTGCCACTGCCTCACAGCATTTGCGCCTTTGTGTCTTGATTTATTTTGCCTGTTTCTTCTCCCACCTCCAACATCTGAGTGTTTCCCCATACATATGCCAGTGCTCACTGTAATTAATTTTTTTAATTTTTTGCCCAAAAACAGTCCTTGTTTTTAAGTGCATTCACTATATCCTAAGAAGGTTGAGCAGTATATCATGTTTCCTGGCCATTTATATTTCTTTTCTGTGAATTGCCTTTTTGGGTCTTTTGGCCATTTTTCTAGGGGATTTTTAGAAATCTTTTTCTCATTGATTTTAAAGACCTGTAATATTTTAATAATAGAAATATTAACTCTGAGAAATTTGTGTGAGATATTTTCTTTGTTGACTTTCAGCTATGTGTGTTTTTCATTAACAGTTTGTCAGTGTTTCACTTACAATTTTGGTTTTGTTATCATAACTGGAAAGGGTTTCCTCATCCTAAGATTACTTCTTTCTAATACTTTTTTAATGTGTGTTTTTAGTCTACAGGGTCTCACTATGTAAATCGGACTCATAGTGATCCTTCTATTTTCAGCCTCCCTAAGCACTGGGATTACAGGCGCATGCCACCACACCCAGTCTCAATTGCCAGCTCAGCTTGCCCTGGGGCTGGGGCTGGCATGGCAGGTCTAACACTTTTTTATTTCTTTTATTCTGACCTTTTTCATGGATAAATCCCATCTGGGTTTATTTTGATTAAAACTTGTTGTCTGCCTCAGTCTTTGCCATTTTATCAAAGAGTGAAATTATCGACTATATGCTAAATACTTTTCCCTATCGTATTCTCAGTTCTCTTCTATGCTTGAGTCTTTCTAAAAGTACTAGGATTCTTACTGATTGGCTTTTACATTTGTTAAAAAGCTCTTCATATCGCAATGATTTTCTAGCCCTATAATAAAGAAAAAGAAGAGCAAGAATCAAGTGAGGAGGACGTGGAGGTGGTGGATGAGACAGCAGACGGAACTGAAGTTAAGCAAAGGTATGGGCAGGGAGGGAGAAGATAGCAAAGTAGCTTTGGAGAACTTTTTTACTTCACTTGTATAAATGATGCAGACTTTCTGGGCTGGCGAAATAGCTCAGCAGACGAAAAAAGGAAAAGCACAATCAGAGTTTCTTTCTTGGGGGCACTGAGGTTGAACCCAGAGCATCGTATATACTGGGCAAGTGTCCCACCACTGAGTACATCCCTTCAAAACGTTCCTGAAATAGAGACAACTTGTGCTTGAGAGCTTTTCTTACTATTGTTTACTTAAGATCATGGCTACTTTAATTTTGTAGTTAGTATGTAGCTCTAGCTTGGCTTCATCTAGAAACTTCTTTTTTTTTTTTTTTTTTTGGTACTGGAAATCAGACTCAGGACCTCGCACTTGCCAGGCAGGCGCTGTGCGGCTGAGCGTTACCCTAACCCCTCATCTACCAACTTCTTCGATGACTGCAGCTTCCTATTTGAATGAATGGGTATAAGCTGTCACTTGCTATCTTGTCTCCCCAGAACTGATTCCCATTGGAGCGCCGTCCAAAAAGCTCTCTCTGAGGTTAGTACCTCCTGCCTTATTGATGATGTCTTCTATTTCATGTCTTACCTGTTTGACAGAAGAAATTGTCTTGGTCCTGTATCATGACAGAGTAGCTTGGATTGAGTTCAGATTCAAGATGGAATGGAGACTTGGAAAGAGTGTAGGTCACAGAGGGCTGTCGAGGCATGGTTGGGTGTAAAGAATCAGGTGCACATTGAAGCAGCTAGCCCGGTACCTTCGTGCTCCACCTCATGTTTCTAATTAGATCTTTCGTACAAAAGAGAGTAATCTGATGCATGGTATGATTTTTTTTCTCTTTTTTTTTTCTCATAATTTTATTGATAAACAAATAGCAATGAGATAGTTTCAAACCAAATTGGTAGGACAGTTTCAATAATTAACACATTGCATACATTCTTCCTTGTGGTTAACATGGTATGATTTGAGGGTTTAGAATTATTCTCATTGATCCTACTAGAATTTTCTGCCATTTTGTTGAAGAATAAATTTCATTTACTGTTTGAAAAATCTGACGAACTCATAAATTTCCTATAAACCTATCATTTAAAAAATTAGAGGGCCGTGGAAATGGCTCAGTAGAATAAGCGCTTCCCTGGCAAGCGCAAGGGTCTGAGTTCAATGCCCAGTTCCACAGGGAGAAAAAAAAATTAACAAAATGAAAATCCTCAAACAGTTTGGTAGGTATTCTTGCTGACATTTCACTCCATGTCTTACCTACAAAGACATGCTCCCGTGTGTGTGTGTGTGTGTGTGTGTGTGTGTGTGTTCACATATATAAAACACCCTAAATTTCCTCAGTGTATATAGTTGCAGTGTCACTGCTCTGTTAAATGGCCATGCATGGCAGCGCAGAGCTGAGGGGTCCGTTTTGACAAAGGCTGTTTGAAGCAGCTAGTCCAGAACAGAGCGTCCAAGCACCACATGAGGCTGAGGCCCTTGGGAAGGGCAGGATTCGGGGTGGATCTTGCTTTCAGGAATTGGGCAGCACGTTGCAGCATCTTCCCCCTAAAGTCTGTGTTTGCGTTATAGAAGTGAAGAACCATGAACACAAGTGAGCAGATTATTTTGTTTCTGTTCTCTGCAGCAGATCAACACTGTGGATGCGCTGGCCATGATGGGGGCCATCCCAATGGGCTTCCGGCCCTCCACGCTCTTCCAGCTGCTAGAGGAAGGTGAAGCGGGTTAAGCAGTCGGGAGTGGGGTATAACTTTTCTGTGGTAGCCAGAATAAGACGAGGACAGTGGCCATCTCACCCCTCACTGGCACTCATCTCACCTTGTCTGTGACAGCAAGCAGAGACCCCGATCCTGTCAGGCCAGTCTGTTGTCTGTGCTCTGCCTTCCTGCCGCCCCGCCCCCACCCCCGCTTGTCCTTGCGCTGTCAGTCCTTTCCTGCATGGTAGCCTGGCCTCCTGCTTCCTCCTGCTGGCTGCTTTCCCCCGTCAGGCCCCCGCCTTTAAGGAGCAGCTCCTACTTCCAGCCCCTAGCATAGCACTTGGCACAGGGCAGGGACTGCAGAAGTAGCTGTTGAATGAATAAGTGATTTTACAAGAAGTATTCTTCATAACTAAACTATGAAAGAAAAAGATAAAAATGCTTTTATATTATTTTTGTATGTTGGTTTTTTGTTTTTTGTTTGTTTTTTTTTTCCCCAAAATCTATAAAATGCTTGGAGCCAGCGAGATAGCTCAGTGGTCTAAAGTGCCTGCTTAGGCAAGTGTGTAGGGACCGCAGTTCAGTGCCCAGTGCCACATGCCACACCAGCCCTGCCCCCATGGTGGGGTGAGCCAGCCACAAAATCTGTAAAATGCTTATGGATTTTTGCATTTTAGAAAATATTTGAATGAATTATCTTCATGATAAGGCAGGTTATTGTCCTAAAATCCTTTCAGGTCTTTAGGCTGCCTTAAGATAATCTCTGTTTATTTCTTTAAATTCTGTATTGTTTTAGTAAGTATGAAGTATGGGTTGAACATCTGTCTCAGGAAGCATTTTTTTTTTTTGCGGTACCAATGATTGAACTCAGGACCTTGTGCTTGCCAGGCAAGTGCTTATTCTACTGAGCTATCTCCCCAGCCCACAAGAAGCATTTTGGAAAGTTTCTGTTTCCTAAGTTTGTAGCACAATACAGTAATATGGATGTTGAGTTTTGAATTGTATTCCTCTTTTTGCAAGAAAATCAAGGGAGACTTACTTTTACAGGGAATCAGTTTCGAGCAAGCCACTTCCTACAGCCAGAGCTCACGGCGTCACAGCTGGCCTTCAGAGATCTAGTGTGGGATGCCAAAGCGGGCACCGTAAGTTTAATCACAGTCACTAAGTACAAATATCATGGCAGCTCAGGCACTGCAGAAACCAAAGCATTGTTTCTCATTGGGGTTTTTAAATGTGGTGCTTTCATACGTAAGGTAAAACTTGGACCTGGTACCTTGACTTTGTCTTGTCTCTCTTCTCTGTTGCTCTTCTCTCCCATTGTTATAAAGGGAAAACGCTAGGTTTTGATTCTAGTCATTCTTAACCTGTTTCTTGATCTGCAGAGATGGGGCTAGCCATAGTTCCAACATGCAGTTGCCCTGAGAATGATTTTATATGGACAGGCTTAGCCCCATGCCTGTGGTAAATGTGGGTGGCTGTCCCCATCGTCCCTGTGATCAGGCCTAGTGTGAAGACCCAGGTTGCAGAGCTGTGCCCTCCGGTGGTGAGACCCCAGCCCCTTCCCCTTCCCTTTTGCTCCCTGGCCACCTTGTTGTGCAGCCTCAACACGGTGCCCTGGAGCAATGTGGCCCATGGACCAGGACACAAAGTGGAAGCTGAAACAGACATTTGAGTTCCTCTTTCTTAAAGAGATGGTCTCGGATATTTACTACCGCAATGGAAAGCCAAGGGACACAGCCAGTGTCCTGTTGTTAGTGCCGTCGTGATACTGTGTGAATTAGATATGAAGAAGGTAGCAAAAGAACTGCATGATTATACTTTTTTAGGCAGGATCTGCTGTCTGGGTATTTGAAGTACAGAACACTCTTGAGTTTTCACTCTACTGCTTGCAGCAGATGTGAGCCACATCTGAGCACTCCCCAGCCCTCCTGTCTGCCTTCTCCTGCCCTGCCTCCCTTCCCTGCAGTCCGAGGGATGGGTGAGAGAACTGAGAGGCCAGGTTTGTAGGGTGGGCTGGTGCAGGACCTCAGTACCCCTTCCCTCCCAGCCTGAACATGACTGGAACCTTCTTTAGTAGGTTTGGTATCTCGTTTTGTACATTAACAAGGACGTTATATTTGGTCTGTTCAGTGTATATTGTTACAAATTTATGCCCAGGAAACTAAATATTCAGCTCTCATTGATGACAACCAGATCTCAGTGCTGAAGGTGCGGCTTTTGATCCTCAGTTTCTGGGGCCAACCGGAGGGGCGGGGCTTTCGCCGCTCATTTGCATACTGGCTGGGCCGCGGAAAGGGACAGTCTGTGTTGTTTCCGGAAGTAGGGGGGCGTGATGGCGGCTGTGACTGAAGTGGAGCCTGCCCCGTGGACATCGCAGAGGAGGGATCCTGGCAGAGGAGCTGGTGGCTCAGAAGCGCGAAGAGACTTCGAAAATTCCCGGAGCTACATCTGAAGCAGAATGAAGCTCACAAATTAAATCACCAAGAGGTTGTGGAAGAAGATGAGACTTAAGTTACCCGCAAATTGGAAAGCCAAAACTCATTTGGAACGGGAACTGCAGGAAGCAGAAAGGAAACAGGAATGTGCAGCCGAGGCGAAGACTAGGAGAAAGGGAAGTTGCAGGACGTCAGTGCTGAAGATGCAGAAAGGTGGGAGAGGAGGAAGAAGGGAGAAAACTCTGAGCTTGGCTTTTCAGGTTATGCGGCTGCCCTGCCGCGTCAGGATCACCAGCCGACCAAGCGGATCAAACCTGACAGGGAAACGCATGAGAGACTCAGAAAAACACCGAGAAGTTTTTCCCAACATCCGGCAGTCTTCTTCATGGGACACATGTGCCTTCCACAGAGGAACTTGATAGAATGCTCGGAAATCTGGAAAAACAAGTTGAAAAACGAGACTTATAGTCAAAGACGTCCTTATAATGACGATGCAGACACTGACTACATCAGTGAAAGAGATGCCCAATTCAGCAAGAAAGCTGAAAGGTTCTACGGGACGTGTATGGCTGAAATTAAACACTTTGGAAAGAGGAACAGCTGTTTAATCCTCATTTTTAGACGCTTAAGAACAGTGCAAATTTCTGCTCACAAATTGAAGTTCTCTTCAATATTTTATCAGTAAACCAGAAGATAGTTTCTGCCCTCCCACTCAGCATTTTGAAATAATAAATGGTTTTTTTTAATGTATACTTCTGTGTATATTTCCAGTTTTGTGCTAGAATAAAAGATCTATTGTAGTAAAAAAAAATGTTGACAGCTGTTAGACATTGTCTTATTTGCAATCACAAACTTACTTAAGTGAAAAGGCTCCAGGTCAGACAGTAAAATGCAAAGTTTACTTGAGGCTGTCCTGAAAAAATAAAAAGTCAAAATTCCAATTTGTTTATTCACAATCTGACCTTTTATCTGTGAATTCCCTCTGTCAGCAGATCCAGGTAAGAAGTCAAATGGGCCAGGGAGATAGCTCGGCAGCATAAGCACCTGCCTGGTCAACACAAGATCCTGAGTTCAATGCCTCGTAAAAAAAAAAAAAAAAAAACCTCAACCAAGTAGATGGTTGCTTGAAGTTTGTTTTTGTTGTTGTTGTTGTTTTTTAAGGAGCATTTAGCTGGTTAATATTGATGCCAGGTTTCTTGGTCGCTGTGCCACAGTAGCCCTCTACACTTAACATGCATTGTTTGTAGAAAACTTGGAGACCGAAATGCGGTGGTTCCATGGTCAGCTCAGGTGCTGTTCCTGCTACTAGTGCCTGTTCTTCCCATTGCAGCTCTTAAGTAGTTAAGAAAAATGCAGAGATATGCCAAATATCACTTCAGAAATTTTACCCAAAATGACTAGTTATGACTTTAAATGAACAGAGTATTATAACTTCTCAGATTTGTATATGTTTATACAAAATTTTTCGTTATTCTCTTTTTTTAAAATTCTGTATATTTTCTTAAGCCACGTTTACAAAAGATGCTTTGGGAAATGGATGTGGACTACAAGTAACAAAAATAAACTTGCTCTAATTCCTCTCTCAGATCAGGCCGAGACCAAGCCGCATTTCGCTGGTCCTGACACTGTGGAGCTGTAAGATGATTCCTCTCCCGGGAACGAGCATTCAGGTCCTCAGCCGGCACGTGCGCCTCTGTGTGTTTGACGGCAGCAAGGTGAGCTCTTGACACTGGCCTGGGGCGTGCCAGGGTGGCGGAAGAGCAGTTCAGTATTGGTGAGGCCACATGGCAAGCACGTGCTGCGTGGAACAGCACCCTGCTCACCTCTGTGCTGCTCATCGCAGAATAGTGAGGTAATTCTGGAAAAAGGAGGAGATAGTAAAGAGCAGTAGCTAATGAAATAAAAGCAAATAAGAGAAAAATATCAAGCAAAAATTGACTCTTTGAAGAGATTAATAAAACTGAAAGATGGCCAGTAAGAGCGAGCAAAACATTTTTAAAAGAAAGGAAGCAAGTTATCAGTACTGACATAGAAAGAGAAACACTGTCACAGCTTCTACAGACATTAAGCTAAGCAGGGAAACTTAGTGCAGTTCTTACAGGAGACAAGAACTCCCCAGTCGGTAGTCACAGCTAAGATCCAAGGGGCAACCAGGTAGTAAGTGAAAGACCCAGAGGGAGCATGAATAGCCTACGGGCTCAAAAGTGACACAGCATGGCAACCAGAGGCCAGCAAAGTGTCATCTTCAAGAGCGAAACCTAAACCCATTTGCCTGAGCTTAACCCTGGCTCCACCGTTCACTGGGTGCAGGGCTTTGACCCAGTGACTCCTGGCTGTCACCTTCCTCCTCCAGTACATACCCTTGGGTAGGACAGCACTTGGCCTGATGCGTGGGACCTAGTAAAGATCTCAGAAGCTGGATTGGGTGAGGGATGGGCTTGCAGTTTAAGAGAGGTGGAGATAAGAGATGTGAGAGGTAATGCAGCTCATGTGGAGGGAGAGTGGAGTGTCACACGTGACACTAGATCTTAGACTTCTGCGTCTTCTTAGTTGGTGGTGACCTTCAGTGGCACGGGCAGTGCTGGCAGAGGACAAGTCTGGAGGAGATGACATGGGTTTGATTTCACTCATTCCAAATGTACCTTAGCCTAGCATAACAGAAATACTTTGTCTTTTTGTCTCTGTCTCTGTCTGTCTCTGTGTGTGCCTCTCTCTGTCTCTCTCTCTATGTGTCTCTCTCTCTCATCAGAACCTGGAGTAAATCATCATCAGCCTCATTTCTAATCTGCACAAAGCCAGCTCTGCCACAAACGTGCCAATAGGTGTCACCACTGACCAAGCAGTGATGAACTGCTCTCTTGCGCTTAGATCTGGTTTAATACTTTTTCTTAGACTTCTTGTTCTCATGTATTAAAACATAAAACAAAGACTAGAACTTGCTTATTAATAGCATATAAAAATAAGATAAAAATTTATGTCAAAATCATAGAAGTGAGTTTATAAAACTATATTAGATTTCTAAATTGAGAACTTATATAACACACTTTTTACTTACTGTATTGAGTGCTTCCTTAAAATAAATGTAAGGGTAGTAAAATTAACTCACAGAATGTAACTTCCAGGACCAACCCTGTCCCACAGTGATGCTGTGAGCTCTGAGCAGTATTTTAAACAGAGAGCTACCAGAGAGCACTGCAGAGCGTCTGGTAGGGGGCAGACGGACACTGAAAATGGCATTGCATATTCTTTTTCCCCCCCTTCCAGTGTGTTCCTCTTTATTCATTTTCAGAGTACAAACTTAAACTTGGGGAGGCTGAATTAGCCCAACCCACCTCTGGCAGGTGTACTCAACATGCTGTATAAAGTATAACATTTAATTTATCATTTCTTTCTCAAGAGAGTTTTCTTCAGTCCATTAAGCCCCAGCTCCCCTCACATGGGCTTTGGTGGAGGTCGTGGGGCAGCAGCAGCAGGTCTAAATCGGGCTGGACGAGTTCGGTCCTTGCGGGCTTCACGAGATCGATTTCTGACCACTTTGCTGTGAGTGGCACAACTCACACAGTAATGCAGCTTCACATACAGCTTGGGAAGCACATAACCGTCGAAGACACTCGCTTCGGAAATGTCCCTGACGGCGGCGGCCCCCACTATGTTCTGAATGACAAACTTCTTAATAGCCTTATGCTTGGGTACGCACCCGGCGCAGTTTGTGCAGCGAATAGGCCCTTTTTGGCATGATTGTTGTTCTTTTTTTCGTCTTCTTGGAAAGGAGGATCCAAAAGAGTGGCATTGCATATTCTTAGTGATTTTTGCAGCCTACTGTTGTGGCATACACTTGTAATCCCAGCACTTGGAAGGCTGAGACAGGATTGCCTCAAGTTCAAGGCCAAATAAAAATGTGTTGATAACACAGGGGCGTGGTGGTGCACCCCTGTAATCCCAGCACTTGGGAGGCCGAGGCAGGAGGATTGCTACTAGTATGAGGCCAGCCTGGGCAACAAAGTGAGCTTAAGGCCAGCCTGAACTGCATAGTGAGACTGTGAAACCCAGTTTCCAAAAAAAGAAAAAGAAAAATCAGAATAGTCTCAGGTTAAGTTTAAGACATCTGTCATAAGCACACCTACCCTAAAAAAAATGATTGAAAGAAATTCTCTAAACGAAGTAGCATGATTTTTAAAAAGGAATTTGAGAACATCAGAAAGGAAGGAAGAAGGAACAATGAAAACAGTAAACCTAGGAGTAATACGTTTATCAACATGTTTTTATTTGGCTCCTTTGAAGTGTTGGACTACTCTTACATCTGTGATGTCTTAGTGTTGATATCTGTTAAGTGCCTTATTCAGTTTGGGATTTTCCTGCTTTTCTTGGTAAGATAAATGGTGTTTTGTGAGATCATGGATATTTGAGGTCTTGAGATTTTTTCTGAATCTGTAAGGCCAGGCATGGTGGCGCACACCTGTAGTCCCAGCGCTCAGGAGGCTGAGGCAGGAGGATCTCCGTAAGTTTGAGGCCAGCCTATGCTACACAGGGAGCTCAAAACCAGCCTGAACGATGTGGTAAAACCATCTCAAAAAAATAAAGGGTCTCCTTTCACCTGACCTTGATACCTTGCTGGCAGGGAATCTGGGAGCTGCTCACTTCACTGCCCAGTCAGCATGGAAGCACAGGGCCTGCACTTGGCCACTGTTCCCCCATGGGGGAAGTGGGCCTGCTGACCATGAGCCCTGATAGCCACAAGGATGCCCCGTATGCCTTGGTTAGTTAGTGGCACCCCTGGTGTCACTGCCATGTCCTATGACCCTGGGCCAGCCCAGCTTCTCTCTACGCTTGACGTTACACAAAATAAACTGAGGTCATGACTTTGTTCATTATACTAAGTTTTACATCAAACAAGAATGTAAACAAACCAGAAAGATAACTCAGTAGAAATAAAATGTTACTAAAAAAAAAAAAAAAAAAAAAAAAGAATGTAAACAAAGGCTCAAATTTAATAATGTATGTGGCACAGGTCAGAGAAGTTTAGCAACATCTGTAAATTTGCAGTACGAGGTAGCCCGGCTAGCTCAGTCAGTACAGCTGAGACTCCTAATTTGCAGTATGTCAGAATGTGGGCAAAGCGAGGGGTGGGGAGGTGATACACAGGTGATAAAACAGCACAGTGGAAGCTGTTGGCAGGATCCGGGTGACGGGCCCGTGAGTACTACCGTAAGCGCCTTTCATCTGGGTTGATGTGGTTAACAGGTTGCATAATTAACCACCATCGTATGTTTTACCCTTTTAAAATTTAATTAAAACCCTTAAGTACTCATTTAAAAAAATGCAGCAACTAAACACCTGTGCCAATAAAGAGAACTAAAAGACAAACCCAAGGCACACTGAAAACCTTTTTCATCTTAGAGTATTACTCCTTCTGAATTTTTGTTTCTTTTTGTATCTATTATATGTTCCAATCAAATTTAGTGGAACTATGAACTTTTTTTTTTTTTTTTTTGTAATGTGAACTATTTCAAATGCACCAAAATATGCAGAGACTGATGCGTAGGCCCCTGTGGCTAGCCCAGCTCACTCGGTTGGAGCCCACCAGGTTGCAATTTGTATTTCTGGCTTTTTAAACAAACAAAAAAAAAAGTATTGCAGGGGAGATGGCTCAGTAGAATAAGTACTTCCCTGGCAAGCGCAAGGGCCTGAGTTCAATCCCTGGTTCCACCAAAATAAATAAGTACTCTCTGGTTACTTCTCTTAAGCTAAAACTTCTCTAAAGTCAGTTCAAATTTCATTGACTATATCCTTGCAGCATGTAGCATTAATTTTATAAAAAGTTTGGCTCCTTTTGCATTTCATTGTTTCACATCAACTGCAGGGTGAACCTCTTGCATATAGCATTTCATAGGAGGTTAAATTGCAGGAAGAGAGTAGTTTATGGGCCCCGAATCTTGAGGCAAAGCATGATGTGTGTCCCAGCTGATGACGGTGTCTGTCTTAGCAACGTATGAAATCCCATCTCTTAAGTCTCTTGAAAGACCAATTCTATCTGAAATTTCACTCTTAGCTCTTAAATACTTCACTTACAACAGCTTATTACAGGCACAAGGTCAAAGGCTGAATTCATTTTATTAGTTTCTTTGTTGTCTTAATATTGAAGGCTTGTTTTTCACTAATTATTTTTAAAGTTTTATGCATACTGGACTTGACGCAAAAAGAAGAACATCACGGAACTGCATGAAATAGAACATGAAAGCCCCCCTCCCCTCTGTCAGCACTCCCGGACTCAGAAGCAGGGACGTTTCAGAGAACTTTTTGCGGTAGGATTTGAGATGGGAAAATCTCATTTCAGGTTCTGAGCAACATTCACACAGTCCGAGCTACATGGCAACCGAAGAGGCCCAAAACGTGGGCTTTTTCTCCCCAGGTAGGTAATCTGCTGAGTGAGTAGAAATAAACTTCTTTTACACGTTAAGATCTAAATAAAGTGAGGGTGTCACTGTGACATTCAGCAGGGCCCTAGATTTCACTCTTTAAATTCCTTAGTGTTCCTTAAAGTTTTAGATTAAAAAAAAAATCACTTGTATTCCTAACTCACCCACCTTATAACTCCTGTGGGTCATCTTATTCAAAGGATGTCAATTTTAGAAAATACCCATTTGATGAAACATGAAAACAAGCAGATAAAATTTAGCAAGCAGGGTGTAGGGCGTTTTTCCAAAGTGAGCCTTTCACACTGTGCTACTGACAGTTGTGTCTTCCCAGATAAAATCAGATGGGGCGCTGAGGACTGTGCCCGCACCCTGGGACTGCCAGGGCTTCAGATGACTGACTCAGGGTTCTGTGGACACCAGCGAATCAAAGATTCTTTATGTTCTTTAGCCAGCATTAGTTGTGGATAGTTTGCCTTATTTGGTTTCTACCACCAAGGTTTTGTTACTGTAGCATCTTAGTTCCTGCCACACCCAACTTGTTTGTGTTACTGCACCCTAAAAACTCTTAATTGTCCTTCCTCTTATTGCATCAAGATGGTAAAGCAAGGGGGCGGTTTGGTGAGAGGACATGGGCTGTGCGTGAGGCCTGGCCAGCTCACTGTGCGTGCACGTGTTCTCCGTCCTAGCACAAGTCCTGCAAGTGCAGGGTCACCTTGTGAGCCCCCTACCCCCAGGGAGAATCCCCTGTCCTTGGCACAGCCCTACACAAGTGTGCAGCGGCATGTCTGTGTGTGGAGGGTGGAATGTTCTGCTGCTTTCCTAGAGTATAAAGATGAGATGTTGGGAGGGTGAGTATAGAGTCCGTTGGCAAGTCCCGGTAGACCTCTGCGCAGTGCCGTGCATTCATCCAGGGTGAATTTGCAGGACAGTGGAGGAGAAGCGCAGCTCTGAGTACTAGTGTCTCCCTCTCGTGCTCTTGACATGTGCCAGGCCCTGTGCTGGGCCTCTGTTTGTGATGTTTTCCAAAAGCCTCAGAGGAGCCCTTGGGGGTGGGCACTGTGGAAAACATCTCTCTGGCTGACTGCAGTGGTGGTGGGGTTCTGGGAGCCCAAGAAGGTGAGGTTAGTTGACCCCAGAGAAGGTGTAGAAGAGAAAGCAGACCTTGAAGGATGGGCAGGACTGTTCAGGCAAGAGGGGAGATTTGGTTGTCTAGGGAGAGAGAAGGGATGTGCAGAAGGGAAAGGAACACGTAGCAGTCCGGCTTCAGGAGAGCTGAGCTAGTGCGTGTGTCCTCCTTCGTTTAGCTCTGTTCACGCACGCAGTGGCTAAGTCACCACCTTCTGTGAACCAGGCTTGCTAGAGCCTGGGACCTCCTTCCAGTACTTGTTTCACACTGACTCTACCTGAAGCAAAAAGTAAAGTAACAGTAATCCCTGGAAATAGACGTTATTTCAAATCATCATTATAGAAGATGGACCCAGTGCATCTGCTTTTTATTTTCCTTGAAAGGCCTTTACCGTAACGCAGGGCTGTAAGCCATGCCCAGAGGCCCGGGAGCTGAACGTCCTCCACTTTTCCTCCCCACCGTCACCACTTTCTCTCCCTGCAGGTTACTGGCATCTTGCCCTGCCTGCTCAGCGGCGATTGTTTCATCAGGTCCAACTCTTCATCCCCAGACCTCGGGATCTTGTTTGAACTTGGAATTTCCTATATTCGTAATGTACGTCATTTAAGAGAGGGAACTGTTAGAAATGTCTGAATTTACAGGTAAAATACCAGAAGGCTGCTGTGTGATAGAATTGTAATCTCTTACAGAATGAGATTGACAGTGATTCCAATTTTTTAGGTAGTGCTGCCTTTCTTGGTGGCATTTAAAATGGTATTTGTTTGCATTTGTGGCGTTAGTAAACACTAGTGCCTTGTGAGTGCTCCAAAAGGCTGGGACTGTGTAGGAAGTGACAAATATGACAGAAGCCTTCCAGCTCAGGGGTCAGTCACGTCTGTCTCCTGGGAGCTGAGTGCGCCTAGGTTTGTAACAGAGTTACGAAAGGACCTGGCAGAGTGGTCAGCTTATTAAGAGCATGCCAGAAACTGGGTTCACCGAGTCACAGGAACTGTTGAACCCCTGGGTGTGAGCTGTGCTAGTAAGTCCACATCTCTATGTTCCGATAGTGGCTTGAGATGTGGAGAAAGCTGAGGCAGGAGGAGTGTGAGGCCAGCCCGGGCTGCACAGTGGGCTCAAGACCAGCCTAAGCTATGCCGTAAGACCCTGCCTCAAAAAGCCAGTAATAAACAACCTGGCCCCGATGACTGAGCGGCTACACTATGGTCCTGTAACACTGCGGTTCTTTGAGACTCATGCGTGTGTATTGCACATGGGTAGCGCGGTGGGAGGAGCAGGTCCCCAAGCCAGCCCGAGTGGCCTGTCAGTTGGTAGTAGAGCTAAACTTCTGAGCAAAACAGCCCTTGAGCGACCAGTTCTGCATCTCACCTGGCAGTGAAGCCAAGTCTCGTAGCCCCAAGTGGTGTCGCTGAGATTTGAGGGCAGTTCACAGAACGCTGAGTGCGCTCAAGGCCCTATGAGAGCTGTGGCCACCTCATCAGGTTTACATGATTTTCAAGAGCAGTTTCAACAAAACACGATTGTCACTCGAAGTACCGCCTTTAAATTTGCGAGGGAAGTGGACATCTGTTAGGTCCTTTATTTTCTGGGAAAGAGCGGCTGAGTACTGGGGTGAACACGCATTTTGTTCCTCTCGGGGGTCTTGGGGTGGGGACACCAAGTCACTCACTTGTTTTGCTTCCTAGTCCACTGGTGAGCGAGGAGAGTTGAGCTGTGGCTGGGCGTTTCTGAAGCTGTTCGATGCCAGTGGCGTTCCTGTTCCGGCCAAGTGAGTGGGCTGCGCGTTCCTGACCCGCAAGCAGCTTCATCTTTAGGGTCTGGGTAGCTCAGGTTTGTTCAGTTAGCCCTCAAACAAGTTTTCATTGTTAACATGAGTGTTATTTAGGGTGCTGTGTAGGCTCAGCTTGCAGTGTCATGCCAGGGAGGAAGAAATGACGCGTGTGGCAGCGTTTTAAGAGATGTTTGCCCTGGCTGGCTGCTGAGAATGTCCCGTCACTGACTTCCCATGTGCTGGCACGTTCTTCTGTGCTGCCAGCAGAGCCTAATTCTCTTCAGAAAGAAGGAAGGCTGAGCCAGGGTCCTGAGGTCCGGGGCCTCGGCCTTTCTCCTGCACGCAGAACCTGGAAGCCGTAGTAGGAAGCTATAAACAAATTTAAATTTTTGGAGCAAAAGGCAGATGAGAAGCAGGTATTTGTGGTAAGAATCAAAGAATAAATGGAAAGAATCCTGTTGTCCTTAATAAAAAAGGAGCTCTTGAAAATTAGTAAGATGATGATCATCTGAATTTCTAAACAGGGATAGGTGGGTGGGAACACAGTATTAAGTCCAGGATATACACAAGAAATTCACAGAGGGGCAGGCCGAGGGGACAGTGAGCAAGAGCCCCAGTTCGAATTACAAAGCTCAGAGCTGTGATATGTAATGTGTCACGGCCAGAGGTAAAAGTCCTCACTATGTCTGGTCTTGGCATCACCCCATAGATGGGAGTGGGAGGGGGTCCCCGTTAGCAAGGGTGGGTGTAGAAGCCCAAGCTTCTTGTGGCATGTTTAGAAAATACGTGCAGGGGAGTTGCTGTGGTACTCAGTGAAAGAAGTAAGGAAAGTACATCTCCATCGTTCTAAAAGTGATGTCACAGGCACTTTTTAAGCGAGGTAGAGCTCTATGTATTAGTACAGAAATGCTTGCAGTGTATAGCATACAAAATGTGAGGCACAGCAGTATGAATACCGTGGCTCCCTTTTTGTTCATTAGAAACTTCGTTAGCCAGGCATGGTGGCACACATTCATAATCCGAGCACTCGGGAGGCTGTGACAGGAGGACCGCTGCGAGTTGGAGTCAAGGCCAGCCTGGGCTACAGTCTGAGTCCAAGGCCAGCCTGAACTGCATAGCAAAACTCTTATCTTAAAAAAGAAAGAGACACCCTTTGCCAGCTTGTGTGGGTGGGTGCAGGTAAACTGGATCAGAAGCGGGACGCTGGCATGACCTTTTAATGTCTCCTCTCTGCACTGAGGCACTGCACTGCTTCAGAACGGACGCGCGCAGGGCTGCGGAGCAGCTCCTGTGGTCTTCATGTGAAGCCGTGCTGTTGATCTCCAGCACTGGGGGCGAGGCGGCATGTATCAGTTTTGAAATTCACTCTGTTTTTCCTGTATATTTGTTGGCCTTTACATAGAAAAAGATGTGCCAAGGTAGGAAAGAAAGATGGCGAGAGGTTTCTCTGTCATCCAAATTGTTTACAACACTGTAAAGGTCATTTTTATATTTTAAAAATAATGGAAATTCATAATGGCTTTGTTTCCAGTAATGATTGAATTCATTTGAAAACTAATTCAAGCAGTTGTCATTAAAAACAAATAATGTCAATCTTTCTCATTTTCATGTAAGAAAGCCATGCCCTCCATAGTTTGTACTGAGAGTCTGTTGCTTTTTGTCGCTGATTATAGACATAATAGCATTGTGTCTGTAAATACCTTTGTGCTCTGTATTTTGCTGCTGACTCCAGTGTTCACAAATGCCCGTGAGGCGTGCCATCTCAGCACGTTTTTCTTTCTAGAACTTATGAGCTCTTCTTGAATGGCGGGACTCCCTATGAGAAAGGCGTGGAAGTGGACCCTTCTGTGTCCAGGAGAGGTACAGCTCTGAGGCGTTGCTTCCCTGCCCTTGAAGCTGGAGCACCTCTCAGGCCCCTCTGAGAAGCTCGCTCTCACAGCGCTCTTGGCTGCGGCCCACGCTTTCACAGGCCAGGCCAGTTCAGAGCTTGCCTGTTGCGAAGTGCGGAGACGTGAACCTGTGACAAGCACGCCTGCATTGCCCTCCGAAGAGCTGAGGGCCTTGTACGTGGCCACCGGGCAGGCAGCGTGCTGGGAGAGTGAGGGTCACACGCCTGTCCTCGTGGGGCTCCCCTGCTGTCCTCACCACTCCGTCCTTGTTTGTTGATCACTGCTGCTGTCCCAGCCTCTTGGGACATGAGAGAGCCTCGGGTCCGTGATGCACTTGGGTGTGGAGCCACATGTGTTCCCTTAAGCGCCCCTTTCCCCTTCATAGGCTGGCAACAGGGACGCATCCCGATGCCTTTCCAGGCCCGTGGGCATCCACATCCAATAGTCCCTCAGCGCTCTGAGAGTACTCGGGGACTCCTGCTTGCCATACACATTAGCACTCTGGCGGCACACTTCATCAAACACTTGGCTTATTGTACTTGCTCCAAACACTTCAACTTTTCAAGTTTACCTTTGATTTTTTTTTTTTTTTTTTTAACAGCACACAACAGCATTTTCCATCAGATGCTGAGTATGCGGAGGCAGCCTCAACTGCTGGTGAAACTGAGGTCTCTGAACCAAAGATCAAGGAACATACTGAGGTTGGTTCCTACTCACCGCTCTGCATGCTTGAGAGCACCCGTGGGCCACTGCTCAGGCCTGTCCTGCTGTCAGGCTTGGGAGCACCCGTGGGCCACTGCTCAGGCCTGTCCTGCT